AGGGAATCCCTGTAGGCACTGCAGCAGGTAATCCTGGAGTAGGTCCCAATTCCTAGCAGGGTAAGGCTCAGCCCAAAGGCAAACAAACATGAGCCCTAAAAATAACAAACATTACGATGTCCCTGTGTAGCCGGCGGAAACACAAAAAAAACTGACTTGGGATGGAAGGAGGAGTCTATTTATTTAATGTGGTTGATGTGTTTCCTGTTGCAGGCAGGCGGAGCCTATATCTCGATGGCTGTCCTGGAAGATGACTGGGGAAAAAACGTGCATTGATTATTTTTGTTGGAGCCAGTAAATCATTGGAAGCGTGATCAGCGGATTGTGAGTGCAGTGATATAGCTCATGCAGACTCTTCATCCCATCCCTGTCCATACCAAGGTACAGACATTCAAAACAAGGCTGGGAGGAAGTATCAATGATTACCAGCACAGTGACGTCACCATTGTATTTCATTAAGAATTACAAGTCCCTCTGCTGTGGTGGCAGACGAGACTTTTAGATTCTTCATATACAGATCCAGTCAAAGGATCTGTGAATGGATGAGACAGCTGTGTCAGGGAAACCAAGGTAGACATTCAGAAACAAGGCTGGGAGGAAGTATCAATGGATTACCAGCGTAGTGACGTCACCATTGTATTCTATTAAGAATTACAAGTCCCTCTGCTGTGGTGGCAGACGAGGCTTATAGGTTCTTCATATACAGATCCAGTCAACGGATCTGTCAATGGATGAGACTGCTATGTCAGGGAAACCACGCACAGCCACACCAGATTAAAAGAAAAAAATAGCAGCCTGCGGGGAGAAGAACCCCAGTTCAGATAGGTGGGGACGGACAGGATGGGGGTTATTGAGTGCCCATGTTTCATGTTACACCCTGAATATGAGTGATACATGAAACATGGTAAAAAAAAAAAAGGTAAACGTTGCCTTTGATATATAAGAAAATGGGTGTGTGGTCTGTTTCAGCCAATATTCCCTTTAAGTTGGTCATGTTCACAAATATATATCAAAATGTTCAGTATCCTGTAAAACACCCCAAATAGCTGCAATGACTAGTGGAAAGTGCAGGAACCCCTAGGCAACTACTCCGAGTGTAGAACGGAGGTCAGCTCAGCAAGATATGGATTCCGATTGAATTCTGGAAGTTGCTGCATTTGCTCACATTTTATGGACTACGCTTTCAGCTTTCTTGTTATCATGTAGTGTTTTATTACATGTGGGACATGTATAAAATGATAGCGTGTACAAGATAATCTACAACTGATTAGCTTTGATGTGACATGAATTCAGTGACTTGAGTTTAGTCAGTACAAAAGAAACTGAGAGGTCTGTTACAAGTTTTATCGGTTCACATATTAACAGTTCTAGATACAAGCATGGTTTTATCATTCACATACAGCTAGACAGCATATGTTCACATTTACAGTGCAAAACAGAAAGCAAGGAAGTGTACATTTTTATATTCCGGAGATTCTGAGGAATGCAAAACCAACATGCAGATTTTACCGTGTTACCTATTGAAGAATATATATGTTTGGCTTGTTTGTCCTTAGAGAAATTAGTACAATTGTATCTAGAAGTCGCTTCTTAAAAAGTCCCACGAATTTCCAGTACATTTAAATGGGACAGTAAAATCAGATTCATTTACTATTCAGAACATAGTAACCATTTGTCAGCCTTATTATATACCGTATGTAGAAACGGCTTTGTCACTGTAACAAAGCCACCTTCAGTGACAATTTATTTGAACAACGTAGGATTTTCTATCCCCATATAAAAATTGTATCACTGCAATCTAGCAATCAATGTGTCCACTTGGCTCTTCACTATCACAGACAGAAAGCACATTGCTGCAGGTCTTACTTTTCACACTGTATTTAACTCCAAGTGTAGTTACACGGGCTTGCTGTAGAACATGGTCAGCTTAGTCATATGCTTCCCACAAGTTTTCTGTATTTTTAGAGGTCGTCAACACAGCCTGAACAAAACCCTTGACGCATGTGGCAAATTCGCATGTAAATCATATAAAAAGTTGAAATATGAAAGAAGAGTCTGAGCCATTAATCAGAATGAAATGTACCCAGCGATATGGGTAGAAAACACACTTTTGACCCCAAAGGAGGACTCCACAATGTTTTCAGCATCTCACCCTTCACTTCAACTGCTGTTGCTATGGTTCATGTTGTGGTGTTCAGGAGTCTTTGAATTGAATAAATTCACCCCTATGGAGATAATTACTTCAATTCAAGAAAGCTGCAGGCATATCACATCGTTTTTATTATGTGCTACAGGGATAATTGATCTCTATGGTTAACACAGGTTTTGCCATACAGTAACACATTACTGACCACTGGATGTGATAAGTATTTTACGATGAATCTGGCAGAACATAAAATTATAAGAGTATTGACATCTGCATTTAATATAGCATTCTGAGGCCGGGACCTGTTTTTTTTTAAATCAATCCATAATAGAAACCCTTACACTGTTTAGGTTGCTAAGCTAATGGGTGCTGGTCCATGGCTTTGGAGAACGTGTACCAGCACCATGCAGGGTACTGTAAAAGGGTCACTTTGCTCTCCCCTTCCCAACAGCATATACAGTAGTACCTCGGTTCACGAACGCTTCTGTTCAAACAATTCTGTTTGCCAACAGGAAGTTCGGCAAAAGTTTGCTTCCGTTCGCAAACTCCGCATCGGGAGACGAACACAACCGCAGCCATCTTCCCTGCTCTGACACATGGTCGTGGCTTCCTCTAGTATTGCAGTCTGATCACAGTTTGATTCAGTTCGTGACCAGAATCGTGGAACGAATTAAGTTTGTGAACCGAGGTACCTCTGTACTTATGTTTCCTGGGTCCCATTCGCCTGCTGTGAAGATGAAAAAAGCCCTGGAAAAGCTCCAAACTGCCTTGTCAGAGCTCACACAGGGCTAGGGACTCATTTTTCATCCCATGCATCAATGTTAGAAAGGGAGGGTGGGGTTGAGTTAAGTGGCCATTTTATTTCACCCTGTAGGGGCAAAGGAAAGGGTCACTTTAAGTTGGCCATATACTATATGTTAAATCATGGTCATACATTTACACAACCTTATCTGAAATGTTATCCCCGACTTATCAGTGCAACACTGAAACCTTTGGTGCCTCATTTGTCACTGAACGTCAATGTGGTGAGTAGGCTATCATTTGAAAATGTCCAACTTGGTAGAAACACCTGCTCTTTCCAATGGTGGCATTTAAGCTGTAAGGCATTTCATACATTGTCTATGTCCCAAACCTGCACAGTTTCAGGTGTGGGACAAAGCGGAATCTAATATCTACAGGTACTTTCCATTAAATTATTTATTACAGATAAAGCATTTAGAACCAAAGCAAATTGGTCAATATGAAAAACTAACACAACCTGGTAAAAAGGCCAGGGAATTACAACTTGATTTACCAATCTCTGTTGGGTATAAATCTGCATCAAGGTTGTACTACCACAGAAAGAAAAGGGGATTTTCATTGACCTATTGCTTGTTTAAGTTACGTAATTATATTATTAAATAGTGCAAAATATTATATTTGGTCAAGATTATGCTTTTAGTCTGAAAATAGGAAATATATTTAACAAATAACTAACATTTTCATTAAATCAGCAATTGATATAGTACCGTATGTTAAGTCGTTTTCCAGTTCTAAATTCTAAAAAGTTTTTTTTTCAGTAAAAAAAGGAAAACATGCAGATGAATCCAACCTCTTCTGGTAGTAGTATGGATGAGTATTTCCCTCTAACAGCCCTCCTGTAAGCCTGAATGGAATTCCTGCTTCTTTTTACTAATTCACTTTTTTTTTTTTATTGGGAGGGCTTAAGTCTATAGATATGGTTTACTTAAAGCTAACCTCTGGGCATGAAAACTTTCATTACACATATTCTGCTATAGCTACAAAGGTTATAAATCCACTTTATGTGCACCAAATGTCTAAAAACACAGATTTTGCCTGGTAAAAGTAGCAGTGATCTCATATCTATGCTGCACATAGCCGGAGCAGAAAGTAGAGCTATGGAGAGATCTGGTAGGTCCATCCACCATAGGCTGGCTACAGAAAACTGCAGGAGGGCAGGTACAAGACCAGTCAGCATGCACAAGGAGAGAGAGCAGCAACCGGTCTTATTACAGGAAACTACTGGACAGAGGCAAAGTACAGGAGTTCTTTCCTGTTAGATTACTGCACAGAGATAGAAAAACAATGCACAAAGCATACCAAGATCCATGTAAGAATACACATGCCTCTCGAAGTTAGACAATATTTGTTTAGCCCAGACTTCTGCTTTAAGAATGAGACTTACAAAATCAGGCCTCCAATTATCGAGCCCAAGGACCGGTTATGCTGCCCCTTTGACAAGATTTATACAGAGTTTTATGAACTCTGTAAAATGTGCATTGTATGATCAGCCCAACAGTCGCAGGCTTGATCCTAAAGTGGAATAGTATGCTCCAGATCTTCACAGGCCTCTGTTATAGGAGTCAAGACTAATATTTGGGCAGACTGCACTCCTCACGCGAATTGACCAAGTCAAAACACTGTAAGATCCAATTCACAGCAAAGCCAGGGCCTGTAGCTTGGGTTGTGCCCTGCCCGGAGCATTGCAATGCTATGGATGAGTCGTATGTCAAGCCAACCGAGTCGCTTCTCCAGCCAATCTGCAGGTGAAATCCGAGATTGTGTTTTTTGGATTTAGGAAAAATAAAAGGCAATGGGATCCCTACAGATTATTACAAGAATGAATCACAATGATGTTGGGTAAACAAATGTGTAGTGCTGTCCTCAGTTCTTACTGATCCTCAAATAAATTCATAAATTTAAGCCGTCAGCATGCCTGTTGGCACCACAGATCTTTGTAGGTCAAACCAACTTCACAATGTAATGACAATAGGCCATTGAATTATTAAATTGTTACAGAAATGAGGGAATTTAAAGTAAAAAGCTACAGCATATTCATGGTGGGTCATTTTTGTTTTTCAAAGTACAGTAAACAAAAGGGTTGCTTTTCCTATAACTATATATCATGACCAATATACACCGTGGTATTAGTTCACTGCATATAACTACCAACATTTAACTACACAGAATTTATCAAATGAATTAGAATGTATCTGAACTCTTGGTATCATTGACTTATGAATCCCAACTCCTAAACATAGACATGCACACTTGGCCATTGCCAGAGATGTAAGAACGCTCATTGTCTAGAAATGTTTTTTTGATTTTTACAAGCAGTGATTTTCTTCTTCTGTTCAACCTACCTTCACACCTTCCACCGCAAGGTCAAGGTACCCTTTACCTGTCAGATTCATTAGGATGGTGTTATATTAGTAGAGTCTGTATTGGCGGCCTAAACATTAGTAATTGTACTGCTTAGCAAAAGCACCGCCTGTCGGACTTAATTACCTCTTCAGAAGAATGCACTACATTTGGGACAAATCCACTTTTTACCCCCTCCCATCCTTCTTGAATATTTATCTCCCCCTTTCTAACAAGCTCATATATGTCACGAGTCAGGTCAGTGAAGGCTTTCTCTACATTGATGGCATCTCGAGCTGAGGTCTCGATGTATCTCATTCCATAGGCAGTGGCTAGTTTTTCCGCCTCATGTCTTGTCACTTGACGTTGCGTGTCTAGGTCACATTTGTGGCCCACCAGAACAAACACGATCTGATAGGGTTGCACGTGGGCCTTCGCTTCCTCTAGCCACTCATGAACATTCTGGAAGGAGCGACGATTGGTGATGTCAAATAGCAGGAGCCCTCCGACAGAATTTCTGTAGTAGGCACGGGTGATTGACCTGTACATAAGAAAAAGAAAAAATATATAAAAATGTGCCAGACAGTGAGAGTAAAATTCACGTCAACTACAAGTTTATATGTGTGATCATCAGTCAACGTTAGCATCATTCAATGTACTCTGCAACATTATATCTAGTAGGCCAAAGCAATCTCCATTGACTGGTGATTAAATACCACCAAAATAAAGCTCTATCTGTCCCCAAAAAATGGTGTAAAATTCATTTCAGTACAGCGCTGCATGACGGAATAAACGTCAGTCAAAGTATTGCAGCGCTGAATACTGAAAAATGGCCTGGCCAGGAAGGGGGGTCTAAACACCTGGTCTTGAAGTGGTTAAAGTACTTTTAGGGAAGAAAGTGAGGACATGCTTTTTTCTTTTTAACAAAATTATTTCATAAAACACAAAATAAACATTTAAAAAGGTTCCTTGAGGCTCCTGTAAGATCTAAGGAGCAACTCAACAGCATGGTATTAGATCGGTGAGCAATGCTACCACCGGATGTAAACCCCAACAATGAGCTTTTCTCTTATTTGCTCCCCTTGGGTCTGTGAAAAATTCCAAACACAATTGCTGATCCTGCCAGAAATCTTGTGGCTTATAATGTTGTGTTCTCTACCTGTGCTGCATTCTTTTAGGTTAGCATTGTTCCCAGATCTCCAGAACATTAGGTTAGGTTTTTGTTCTTGGGTTTAAATACACTTTTCCTCACAAGAATTACTAGGTGTTTACATAGTTAATGCTTGAACCTCTCTGTTTTAAGAATCAAGATGACAAAATGTATTTGCCCCTAATGCATTATGGCTAATAAAGGCCAATATGTGCTCGCAAAACACTAGGAGTGCTCAATGTTAAATGTGTTACTCTCTATATAGCACCATAGGCTTTTGGTCATAAGTTTTGCTTTCAATTAGAAGGCTTAGTACCTGTACTCTAAATTTATGGTTAGGTTAATTCAGAAGGTCAATGCTGCAGTGAATCCATATTTCAAATAAACAGCACCTCTGAAGACTACTAGGGACCTTGCTATGGCCTCACTTTTTCATGCTGTTGCATCCTTTCCCTGTTAAACATCCAGTGGGGAATTGTTTCTTCTCACCTTCACTCAAGGGATTTGGATGTAGAAAAAAAACACAAAGTTAAATCTTTACATACTGTATACCGCCATCTCCAGTTGTCAAATTACTTGCCATAGACTTGTGCGAGGTTACACACTGAGCTGTGAGCCTTTATTGGGACCCGGAAGTCTTCTGGACCGAGCAAATATGAGAAATGATTGTAATGATGACACCTCATGTACATCTCGGCTTCCTTGTCACGTACTATCATATCAGAAATGTTCTTTTGAGAGGGTCTCACTAGACAATGTAGCTGTGTGAAAAGCCTCATATGCAAGTTGTCATTGTTGATCCCAAAGCTCCATACCCTCTACTACTATTTCTGGGAGCTATTCTTTTATTAACTTAAGATGTGTAAAAGATGAAAATCAAAATTACTGAATGAAACTTAAGTAAAGTAAAGCATCCTAAGGCCACCCAGTTATACAGAACTTCCCAAACAAAGCTTTACCTGGAGAACCCAAGATTGCCAATCTCCTTGGTCTCCCAAAGCTCACACTAGTAACTCCATGTTACGGCAGGAGACAGTGCAGGAGGCACTGATTTCATGCAGTTCAGTGGCAGTAGCCAAGGAGATCAACAGTCCTGGAAGTATTGGTTTCCCTGTGGACTTCGGAGGACAATTTATTGGGATGGGAGTGGTGTTTGGAGGTGTAGGCAGCAGGAGAGGCAAGTATTCCCTCCCTCTCATTTACAGGTATAGCTTTGAATGTTTAAAAGATTTGTATAGCACCAATGTCAACACCGAACAAACATCTAAAGCAGTGGACTAATAGGGTAATTTCTCTGGTCTCTCTGCTCTCGCCTATCAGCATGTTTCTTGTCAGCACATTTGAATTCAGAGCACCCTCTTCCAGCCTGAATGCTGCTGTATTAGGAGATTGCTGACACCAAGTCACATTCAGGCATTTAAATGAACACATCTAGGACGAGCTGTGATTACTGAGAGTTTCAAGAAATGGTTTCCCCTGGGGCACAGTGCCACCATTCTTGGCTTGCAGCTTCGGGTTCAAGGTTTTATATCCACAAAGGACACTATCTGAATGCATGTTCTCTGTATGTGAATGTGGGTATCCTCTAGGTGCTCGAGTTTTCTCCCACGCTCCCAAGACATACTAGTGAATTAACTGGGTTACAGTCGAATTGGGTCTTGCTTGATTCTTTTTGACCCATCACAAAATACACTTCTCAGTAGACTAAGCAGGCATGGACTTGACAATTGGGATTTCAATTTGAGTTGAATTCCTCGGTTGTTGTTCTAAGTGTGTGTGTGTGTGTGTGTGTGTGTGTGTGTGTGTGTGTGTGTAAAATATATTTGCTCTCATGAGACCAGAGAACAAAAACAAGATATGGAAAGTAAACTCTAGCCTTGGACAACTCCGATCTATTCTGCTTCACAAAAATCACAGCTGGAATCAGGTTGATGGAGAAGACAACGCAGTAGCTGGATATTAGCTTCCATAAAACAATCACTAGATTACCAGGCCATGAAATGTTCTGGGCGAGTTCAGGCAGGTACATCCTGTGCCACATCTGACGATTAAACACTACTGAACGCTTACTGGCGTGTACCATGGCCCTGTCACAAAGTGTTTGTAGAGAATTGTATGTCAGGGCAATGATGACTTAGTGGTGTGCAGGTCTTGCACTGGCATTGTTAGCAGATACCGCTTGATGCAGAAGTTCATCCAGCACCAATGTTACTTGCATGGCATTCTGCTTGTTCCAAGGCAATGTTAGTCAATGGCCAGGTGCTGCACAAATATTACAATCAATGTTTAGGAAGAATCCTGCACCTGTAAAGCATGGAAATTAGCGCTGGGCCCATTTTTGATAGACCAGGTGAGGTTTAGACTTGGCTGGGGAGATTCTCTCTCACTTCCTGCCCTATAAACTGTCGTTTTCGTGACAGGAAATGCCCCCAACAGAGACCTACAAAACTTGACTGAGGTTCTAACCCTATCCAGCTCCATTTTGTTTCAGCACCAAGATATCAGTGCCCTGAAAATGCTATGCATTGTGAGGATTCGACGTGGGATACTTCTAGTGCCGATAAAATATCCAGTTTAAGAGATTATATTAGTTTTAGGTTAAAGGTCAGGGCTAGAGAAATCCCTAGAGCCAGGCAGACAGACAATGATCCTTCAAAATTACAGCTGGCACCTAACATCTGAGGTTTTCTCTAATGGTTGTCAATGGAGCTGGCTCCTAAACAATCCTGCTGGCTTCTGGATTTGACAGACTGGCTCCTAACACTGTTAGGTTAAGGGGAAGGATAGGTTAAGAATTAGTGGCAATTTTCAGGGTTGGGTGTCAAGGTTAGGTGTTAGGGGGACGTTAAAGAGACCCTGTCACCAACTTAAAAAAATTAGGGTAGAAGCACAGAAAAATCGGGTATTTTAAGGGCTTACTTGCAGTGTTTTTTCTTTCCATAAATTATTTTTTATTCGCTTGCAATGTGCCTTAGACTTGCTAGAAAATGTGTCTACTACAGGAAAGTCAGTTCCCCAACACACTATTGAATATGTCCCATCGCACTTCTTATTGGTAGATCCCAAATATGTAGTGGGTGCTACAGCAACAAGCGGATGGCGCCGCATATACAGGCAGGAAGGAGAAGAGCCACTGGCACCCCAACTGCGATGCAACTTTGTTTTTCATTGACGCAAGTCTATCATATCACAAAGAGAACCAGTTCACTTTGTGATATGGCAGACTTGTGGCAATAAAAGAGGAAGTTGCATCACAGTTGGCATGCCCGTGACTCTTCTCCTAGTTCCCCAACACAGCCCCCTCCCTCCTTGCATGTCATAGCTCTCTCCTCTTCTGGGAGTGTGTAATTACTGACTGTGTTGGCTCAGCTCCTCCACCCCTCCCCTCTCTATATAATCTTTCATCTAGCTACCTTTTTACAGGTGAATAATATGAATAAAATTATTTAAAATGTACATATATTCTCATGGGAAGATTTTTGTTGAAATAATTGGTCTGGCGACAGGGTCTCTAAAGTAAACCTGTCATAAAGAGAAAGACAGGATCTGATTTGCCAAAGGTAACGTGGACAGTTCTAGGAGACTTGATGGCTGCTTGAACTTTAAAGCGACACTAAACTCAGGAAGTAAATCTTATAAATACATTTTTGTTAATAGGCACTTCAATGTATCTTATTTGTGTATCACTCGGCTGTAGAACCTCAAATCATCTCTGAATTGGTGTTGACACTGTCCTTCCTTCTGGAGGGTGGCTACTTTTGTTCCCCACGATACCTGTGTGTGTGTTGTAAAGTAGTCACCGCTCAAAATGCACTCCGGCGATGGACTACAATCTCAATACAAATTAGTAAACTCAACATGAGATTGTAGTCCCTCACAGGAATGAGCTTGGAGTGGTGACTACTTTACAACGCACACAAAGGACCATGGTGACCAAAAGCAGCCATCCCCCAGAAGGAAGGACAGTGTCAGCACTAATGATTTGAGGATTTAGAACAGTTAAGACATCTACATGCATTTCTAAGGTTTATTCCTGAATTTACTGTCACTTTAAGGAGGTGGCCTCGTGTGAAGCATGGGTCTAGGTTCATAGGGACTAATGGGATAAATCTAATGGCTAACACAAATATTGGCTACATGGTTCATGTTGGTTGTTCTAGTGTGCAGCTATGCTAAAAACAATATTACAAGACTTGTGTGCATTATGAGTCCACCTGTACCTAGCCTTAGATTTTCCACTGCAACAAGTTTGTAAACATAATATACATGTAATTAAGAAAGAATGTACCTGAACAGAGAACACAAGAATAGTTTTCTTACCCATCAGTGACCAAAATTGTCATGTTTAGATACATTGATAGAGAATTGCCATCACCTGCCTATTAACAGAGCAGTGCATTTTCCATGACACTCTGATAGCAAAGTCTCACTATTTGCCACGGGTAATGTACAAAACCCTTGATACGCGGGTGGACACATTAAAATAGAACTCAGGAGCCAGTAAGATTTTTTTTAGGAGCCAGCTCCATTGACAACAACTAGAGAGGTCCTTAAAAGTTAGGCCCCAGCTGTAATATGTCTCTGATATAGAATACAAATCCACTGAGAGATCAGCATATTTTAGGTAAAAGGTTTAGGTAAAAGGTCAGAGAAGGAGAAAATACAAGCAGCATCAATTTATGGGTTACCCTGTTAACAGTGTGCCAGCATAGTGAGTACATCAGTGAACTCTGTTCCCCAGGATGAACGTCCTGGCTGAAGGCATCTACAGGACTGAACAGCCTCCATCGCCTTGTTCCTCTATAATACATCAGTCATCTCTGTTCCCCCGGTTTCAGCAGATGAACATCCTGGCTGAAGGCATCTACCGGACTGAACAGCCTCCCATCGCCTTGTTCCTCTATAATACATCAGTCATCTCTGTTCCCCCGGTTTCAGCAGATGAACATCCTGGCTGAAGGCATCTACCGGACTGAACAGCCTCCCATCGCCTTGTTCCTCTATAATACATCAGTCATCTCTGTTCCCCGGTTTCAGCAGATGAACATCCTGGCTGAAGGCATCTACAGGACTGAACAGCCTCCATTTCCTTGTTCCTCTATAATACATCAGTCATCCCTGATCCCCAGTTCCAAAGGCTAAACCTCCTGGCTGAAGGCATCTACAAGACTGAACAATTGTGCTCCTTGTTCCTCTACAATACACCAGCCACCCATGTTCCCCAGTTCCACAGGCTAAACCTCCTGGCTGAAGGCATCTACAGGACTGAACAATTGTGCTCCTTGTTCCTCTACAATACACCAGCCACCCATGTTCCCCAGTTCCAAAGGCTAAACCTCCTGGCTGAAGGCATCTACAGGACTGTACAGCCTCCATCTCCTTGTTCCTTTACCATAGGCCTATAGAAATGTAAAGAAATATCCCAGATAGGTAGAGGGAAAAGCTATAAAAAGATTCCCAGAAGGCTTTCAGACACAGATTGAGGACACTACTGATAATGGGGAGGAAGTTGATTTTCTCACCTACAGTTAACTTAATAAAACAATTATACAAATAAGCAGCTACCAAGAATCTAAATGAGGACCAAAGGAAGCAGAGCGTCTTAGTTCATATTATCCAAGGAACAATAGTGTGTTCTATTCCATAGACACAAATCAGATTCTGGTACTTAACAGCTTAGGGCAAGCCAAGGAAATATTACTTCTTTCTGATTGGTTAATATAGAGTATTAAACATCATTCGCCTTTAAAGGATCAGCTCTCCCAGTTTACAGAGAGATGCTGGCGGGCTTTATTTTCCACTCTTTTCTTTATACCCAATACTGATTCCTTGTTCTGCCCTCCTACTTCAGCTAAAATACAGCCAGACATAGGAGTCTTGCTCCTCTTGCTGCATTCTCCATAATATAAAAAGACGTAACCCTTTGCAAATAGTGGGCAGATCTGGGAACCCAGTTTCAGATATCTAGCCATTAGAATCTCCATAACAGTTCCAAAGCTGATGGTTGATTGAGCCAGTCAATAGCCATACAAATCTGAAAGATCAAGTTTGGTAGACTGATCCTTTTAAGAACTATTTTTTTTTAGGAGGAACATAAGGGCTTAAAGAAGAGACACTACAAGGTGAATTCATGCTTACAAACCTTCACCTGTAAGACTATATATGGCTGCAACCAAGCCTCTAGTGTAGACCATCTTGGGGCACCATTCAATTATAATATGGTGGGCTCCCAAGGAGCTCCATAAGACAATGAGCAAGTTTTCAGGTTTACTTGAAATATGTCCTGTGGACTTCAGTGCCAAAGCTGCGTGTATTACCTACATGATCCTGGCAGTAATGTCTTATCACCATGGACAACACAAACCCTTCCTTCCTATATACAAGAGGTTCATTTTAATATACATCAACCATAGTAAGCCCCAATCTGAAAGAGGTAAACCATCCATCTTACCTGAACCTTTCTTGTCCGGCTGTGTCCCAGATCTGTAGCTTGATCCTCTTGCCTGGTTCAATTTCTACCAGCCTGGAAAAGAAGTCCACCCCCACCGTGGGGTCAGACACTTGGGCAAAGCGGCCTTCGGTGAACCTCCGAATCAGACACGACTTTCCCACTGTGGAGTCCCCAATCACTATCAAACGAAACTGGTACAACCAGATGGCTTCCATTGTTCCCAATTCGTTTTTAGGGTCTCCTCGTTCTTCAAAAACTATTCTCTGAGTTGGTTTTTATACTCAGATCTATTTGCTCGCAGTCCTTTGTACCTTTCTTCTTAAACTACAAAACAACTACTGCAGGCAGCTCATGAAAGTTCCATATACAGAGCACTGCATACAAGTTCTTTGTTTCTGAGAGGATTGCTTCACACCAACTGCAGACCCAACCCTCCCAAATGACAATCAGATGAGTGGAAATGGTATGCACCCTTGGTGGTAGGGCAGTCAAGGGTTAACTGGGCATGGAATCATTCACCTCTGAAGACAGGTGTCACAGCTTGTTGATGGGAGGGTGCAGTTCAGAGTTCAGCCTGCAGGGGGCGATCTACACAGAGGCAAAAGGTGACAGGCCAGGAGGAAGCAGAGGGAAAGGTGTGCTCTACGTACTCACATCAGCCATGTTTATCATTAGACAGGAAATTCAGCTTCCGATGGGGGAGGGGGTGCTGATGGTCAGGCAACCTCCATCTTGCAATGTATCCGTCTCAATGCACGTTATCTCTATAGGAAAGTCAGCAAGAAGTGCAATGCTAGGCTATGGAGGGGCACATTGCACGATGATCGGCCACTCCCAGGGCCACACACGATGCACACACGTCTGCGGGGGGTGTCAGACCAGATCGGACACCTACCTCGTCCAGCGATCCCCTCTCTCCTACACTGGCAGACGGAGGGCCGAGCTCCACAAGGCACCGCGCTCCATCATCAGCCCTCTAATGTGCCCCGATCAGCGCCCACAAACACACACGAAATATGGAGGCTCGCTCACACAGCGAACTGTCCGGCACACAAAGGGAGGTCCATGGGAGAAGATGGGGCGATGATGATCCTCAGAGGATGCTGGCTGTACAGATCTGATGAAATGGCAGCAACATCAGCACCAAACACTCTGACTCATCATTGGCATCAGCAGCTGCCGTAATCACTCTACTACTACCGCCGCTAGACCAGCCCCTACCGTATTCCTCCGAGCAGCACAGCATCCGCCCTCAAAACCCTCCCACTCACATCTCATGTTCTTGTCCTTTCAATCAGTCATTTATTAATCATTGTTTAACCTGCAATAAAATGAGACCTGATGATCCTGCCATGAAGGTCTTTGTCAGAGTAAAACTGAAGCCAAAACCCCTTTTGTTTTAGTTTTGAATAGCGTGTGAGAGAGAGTAGAACCCCTGTCAGCTTTTTATTTCTGACTGCCCATTAGTCCCTGTTCATACCTTCACGTTCCATGAATGCGCATCATGTGCACAGTTTCACGCACATTGATGGAACACGTCAAAAATGCAAATGAGCTTGTGGTGCCATTACTTATAATTAGGGATGCACCGATACCGATATAAGTATCTGTATCGGAGCTGATACTGGGCATTTTCACAATGAAAATGCCCCGATACAAATCGCTGATATTGGTGCTTTAAATTGTTAAACACAAATGGCTGCCTGAGGTCCCACTCTTGCTGGGGACCTCAAGCAGCCTGCTGGGGACCTCGTGGCGGCTGTCTTTCACATCTTCTTCCCACCAACCCGAGCAGCCATGGGAAGACCCGGAACAGCCCTGCTAAGACCTGCACCCATCTGCACAGCCACGGAGAGACCTGCACACAGCCCTGGTGACACTACACAGCCATGGGGAGACCTGCATGCAGCCCTGGTGACACTACACAGCCCTAGTAAGACCCACATGCAGCCCTGGTGACACTGCACAGCCCTGGTGACACTGCACAGCCCTGGTGAAACTACAACACCCTTATGAGACCTGCACGCAGCCCTGGTGAGACCCACATGCAGCCCTGGCGAGACCACACACAGTCCTGGTGAGACCCACATGCAGCCCTGGTGAGACCATGCACAGCCCTTCTGAGATGCTGCACAGCCCTGGTGAGCAACACAGAGTATGTAGCTTCATATTATTCTGCATTGCTGTATAATGGATTGCTGGGATTTGTAGTCCCCAATAAAGAATGGTATTCTTTATTGTTGCATAATGTATTGCTGGGATTTGTAGTCCTCTATAGCTGGTGGTATTCTGCATTGCTGTGTAACGTGTTGCTGGGATTTGTAGTCCCTCTGCAGCTTGGCGTCAGTGGCAGAGCTACCAGGGCTGCATCGGTTGCAGTTGCAACTGGGCCCTGGCGCTCCACCATGTTTTAGGGAAAACGGTCACATGACACTAAAAAAAAGGTATCTGTAATTGATAACGGCGAGTACTTGCGTAAAAGTATCAGTACTTGTACTCGGTCTTATAAAAAAAATCCCTACTTATAATGGCACCCCAAACGCAGCCGGGAAAATGCACATTTTTCCCGCATGTGGATGAGCACTAAACGTGCACCAAACATGCAAGAAAAAACACGGGACGTCTGCAGCAGAATCTGCTACATGGGCGACTTTCCCATAAATGTGACATGTGCTCCCGATACGCCAAGGTGTGAATGGGGCCTTAAGGAGAATCTCTATTTGTCCTGGTGACCATTATCACCAAGAGTGAAAGAAAATCCCAAATTTTGAGTTGTCACCAGAACAGGAATAAAGAGAAAATTTTCCAGTGGGGACACTGGTTCTGTTGACAACCAGGGATCTCCCACACTGTGCAGGGATTTCTGCTCATTCTCTGTTGTCAGACAGAAAGAGAAATCTCCCCAAGAACACAGCTGGCAAAAAACTGACGGGGTTTATAACCCTCCCTTTATGCAAAATTGCAACAAAAATGTTTTGGCTTCAGTTCCATGTTAAGGCCATTCCTATTATAAGATGACAACATTATGTCCCTGCCTTACAGTTGTTTTCCTCCGTTGTCACCCGGGCTTCCAATGGAGACTATAAGTCAGAAGCCAGAACTCCAGGTATAAATATGTATGTATACTTACATTGATCCAGCTTGGCCGAGTCTAAGTATACATATTGTATACCTTATTAGGGCCATGGGGGTCCTGTAAAGCTACTGCAGTGCTGGCTGGGATCTTCCAGGTCCTGCTTAGCACTATACTGAGTGACTTCCCCTCTGCTATGAAAACACAGGGGGTCGCTCGCTCGGCACAGTGGCTATTCAGAGAACACCTAATATTTGTATTAATGAAAAAAATGCGTTCTCCGATTGGATGAGGACAATGATGTCATGATCTGCACCTCATCCAGTCAGTCTATGCCTTGTGTTCATTAATAAAAATACTAGTGGGTGCATTTATCAAAACTGGAGCAAACAGAATTTGGAGCAGTTTCCTATGGCAACCAATCAGCTTCTCTCTTCAGTTTGCTTAAGTAAGATTTGAAAAAGAGAGAGAGAAGCTGATTGGCTGCATTGCATATCTGCTCCAGGTTTGATGAATTCCCCTCAATGTGTTTTCTGAATGGTCTCTGTGCCCCCCTGTGTTTTCACAGCAGAGGGGAAGTCACTCAGCACAGCGGCAGTGTCAGGACCCGATGGAGGCCAGCACTGTAGTAACTTTGGCTACTACATGGCCTTTACAGGATCCCTGAAGGCTGACATTTGCATACTTACATCGGCCCGAACTGCCCCAGTCTGATCCAATGGCTTCAGGATTTGTCAATCGCTTGGAACACTTATACTGATCAAAAATTCTGACTTTCCTGATCTGCATTCTTGTACCGGGGTCAGTGTCTAATATGGTGAAAGCCAGAGGCAGCCAGGAAAGGAGCATTTTAAAGAGACCAGCAATGGCAGACGCCGTATTTGATTCAGAGTGACTTTCCTTTAAAGAGAACCTGTCACTGATTACAACCCATGAAGTCAGAAGTGTGTGAGGGGTCACTGTCTCAGAAAGTACCAAACACATTAGATTAGCAGCCAGGCAGCTAGCATTTTCAGAAGGTGATTCCAGCAATGATAGCAGGGAAAGTAAATCCATCCTAGAAAAATGCTAGTGACTGGCTGGTATGCTGACCCTGTGCCTTCAATACTTGAAATCACTGACCAGGAAGAATATGCCGATCAGGAAAGTCAGAAGTCCTTATCTGTATACGTATTCCAGGTCCAGATCAGTATTGAAGTCAGAGGGTCAACATGATAGCCAGGCAACTAGCAGGAGGAGTGGTCATCAGTGGTGACCTCCATGTTTCTTGAATGACAAGTTGTCTTTACGATGCAGCTCCATGATGAATCGGTGATCAGTAAGTGATTATGATGAGAAAGTCGATGTAACTCTTGGCACTAATGATTACCGTCACACAATCCTCCAGGAGTAGTCCTTCTTGTCAAATCTCCACAGCTTTCCGAGAGGCTGCTCGTCAAGGAGACTCTGGGGTTCTCATCAGATACATAAAAGACAAACGCAACAAAGCGCCACCTCCTTGTGTCAAATCTTTCTTTATTTGAATAATAAAAACGCTTATAAATACAATTATAACATTTCAGTCATGCTGGTCAATAAGAGACCACAAGAATTCTGAGGAAGGGGCTATGCCCCTGAAACGCGTGAATCCAGCCTAAAAGCAGCCGGTGGCACGATGGTATGGTGATGTGACCGGAGGCAACTTTTTATACGCAGTCGAAGCGGAACATTCCTTAGACACTGATCTTGTAGTCTCTTATTGACAAGCGTGACTGAAATGTTATAATTGTGAGTATTTATAAGAGTTTTTATTATTCAAATAAAAAAGGATTTCACACAAGGAGGTGGCGCTTTGTTGCTTTTGTCTTTCAGTGATGATGATGAGTTATAGTAATTATGCCATCAATGGGCTCATTATATGACTTCTGCTCTGCAGAGAAGCAGTTTCCCCTTATTTAATACCTGGAACTAAAATAAGGATGTTACCTGTGTGTAGCTGTACCAGCTCTCAGCCATGTTTGTCCTCCATTAACAGCTGGGGTGACTGGCAGTACAGCACCTGGAAACTGCAGTACACAAGGAACGTTCAATATTTTCACCTCTATGAGGTTCCACATCTTTCAATGAAAACCTGTCATAAAATAAAGGAGCTGCCATTACTAATCTCCTTCTGAAAATACTCGTAGCCTGGCTGTCATTATGA